GGGGGGGGGGGGGGGACCTGGCCCGAGAGCGCACGCCGAACTCCAGAAAACCCCCCTCCATGCCCGTCCTCGGCCCTAGGAGGGGCGCCCGCGCCCGGGTACGCTTCACCCCAAATGCCCACTCGCCGTCCCACGGGGCCACCAACTATTCCAGCAGCGCAAGGAAGAGGCAGAGAAAAAAGACAGACAGGAGAGCAAGAGAGCAGGCGAGGGCCAGGAAGGAAGGAACGACGCCAGCCCCGAACATCACGTACCTTGAGTTCCTCAATGTCCAGGTTTGTTGATCTGTCCATGAAGCGAAACTAAAGGAAGTGAAGAGGAACAGGGCAAGTTGTACCAAAAAACAATCAGTCTTTTAGTTTCCAGCCTAAACTCAGCTTTATCCTCCTCCAAGCCCTGGCAGCATCTCTCAGTCTCATTCTCCGTGATCACGCCGCCTCCGCCGGTTAAAAATAATAAAAATAAATAAATAATAATTATAATTCACTTTGTTTTACTTCCTCAAAGATTTACTGACAGGTGATCTTTACCGCGGTGCAACACAGCTCAGTGGAATCAAGCGGGGTGCGCGAAGGGGGGCGGGGGAAAATCCACTCTATTTAAGATTATTTCTTCTTCTGCAATAAGCTTAGAAACCAGCGAATTGCTGCATCCCAAGAAAAAAAGCTGCTTCCCTGGACAGCATCATGCGGCAAATTTCAAGCAAATGTGTTCAAACTGAACAGAAGAGTATATGATAAAAGCCTTCCTCAGTCAGGCTTACTCTGGTAGCTATTTTAGCACACTGTGAGTCCCAGCTTCAGCAATGATCAATTTCCGTGGCAGGATAACCAAATCCCCGAAGTCCTGCATAGACTTAAAAAATGTCTTGCAGCTACGAGGTATTCTCTCAGTGGGGAAAAAAGATCAAGTCTGTAGGGAACGTTCTCCTTTGAAGGTTATGCTAAAAGAGTTGAGAGAACAGGAGGTGGCTCCTACAGAGGAGAAAAAAGAGAGAGAGAGAGAGAGAGAGAAGCCAGAGAGGAAGAGAAAAATTTTCCTCCTGCTTCGCTGTTTTACTGGACTTCACCACCAGGGGACTGACTTCACTTCTCTCTTCCCACAGCCAGCACTAAGGGGATTTCTCTCATCTGTCAAAAAGCAACAACTCCTCTCCAGACAAATACTATGCTGCTGGGTCTTAAAGACTGTCCTCTACCCAGAATCCACTAGGTGACGAGCCTTTTAATTCATCTCGCATGTTGCCTCATCTTGTTCCCATAGATCTGGGAGAAACATGCATGAGTGCATCATACACGTCTTCGCTTTACATCACTGCTGCTTTCAGTGTCAGCGACTTTTTTTTTTAAACTTAAGACTTTGAAAGAAAGTGACAAATAGAGGAAATGTCCCGTGCTGATGCTTAGGAGAAAGCAATCTTTTATCAAAAAAATTATTTTTTAAATAGACCCTGACAGGTGAGTATGCTTAACTTGTAGGGTGTAGGTGTGGGGAAAGGTCTCATTTTCTTCATTTGAAGGTCTTAGCATAAAAAAAGCTTGACTTTTAAAAAATATTTTTCATTGAAGTATAGTTGTACAATATTATGTGTTATAGGTGTATAATAGTGATTCATAATTTTTAAAGGTTATATTCCACTTACAGTTATTATAAGGTATCAGCTATATTCCCTGTTTTGTACAATATATCCTTGTAGCTTATTTAATACATAATATTTTGTACCTCTTAAGTCCCCTACCCCTATATTGCCCCTCCCCCCTTCCTTTTCCTCACTGTGTAAACCACTGGAACAGATAAATGTGTGTTCTCTATATCTGTGAGTCTGTTTCTTTTACGTTACAGTCACTAGTTTGTTGTTCTTTTTAGATTCCACATATAATTGGTTATGATACAGTATCTATCTTTCTCTGTCTGACTTATTTCACTTATGAAAGCTGGAATTTGAAGGGATTTAAAGAGTCTCCTCTTATTTTACTATGTCACATAAACTGGTGAAACTTAAAAATGTTTTCAGATTCAGAAAATAACTGAATAAATAATTACCTGTGTTTCTAAAAAGAATTTATTTTGTTTTGGATTTACATGGGCACTCGATGTGTCTAGGCTCCTGTCTCCCCGCCAGCCTGACTTTATTTTTGTCCTCTTCCCTCACTCTGCTCCAGCCCTGGTCTACCCCGCCCACCTGCCATTTCTTCTGCCACTGGCTCTTTAACACCAACTCTTGTCCCTCAGTCAGGACCACCGCTCTCTCTCCCTCTGCTCTTTGCATGTTTAACCCGCATGCTTCATGAAACTAAAGCCATCTCTTCAGAGAGGATTTTCCTCAGATGGATCCCTCAGACCTTCCCCTCCTCTGTCATCTCTTTGTGGCAGTTACTTGCTTTTCCATTATTCCATGTGCGCATTTGTTATCTTTTTTTTTTTTGCGATATGTGGGCCCCTCACTGTCGCGGCCTCTCCCGTTGCCGGACGCACAAGCTCAGCGCCCATGGCCCACGGGCCCAGCCGCTCCGCGGCACGCGGGATCCCCCTGGACCGGGGCACGAACCCGGATCCCCTGCACCGGCAGGCGGACTCCCAACCACTGCGCCACCAGGGAGGCCCACATTTGTTATCTTTTTGTCTGTCTCCTCTAGCAGACTGACTATAAGCTCTGGAGGGCAAATTCTATACCTTTCTTATTCGCCAATATATCCCAATAATTCGGCACAATATAAGTCCACAAATATGTCTGGAACAGATAAATCTTTTACAGTTATTTCATTACTGTGGAAAAACCTCCATGACTCCCTCACTCCTCAACACGCAAAGACCACTTCTTCCCCTCCCAGTCTGTAGCTCAGATTTATAATCAAGCATGCAGAGTTCTTCAGTTTTCACCTAGTCTATTTCTTAAACTTATCAAAGCTATAGCTTTCCTTCAAATTTTGACTTGTGCCTACAGCTTTCAAGGCTAACATCAAGTAGCCAACAGTCCATAATTAGTGGAGCTGAATTTCAAGTTCTCAAAATAAATTTTAAATGTTCACTTTATATAATTATTTTACATAATACATGATGAAAAATAATAAGGCTGCAGCTGGAGAATAAATGAACTTATGTAAAATGTATGTCTAAAATAGATCTTTTCTAGCAATTATCAATAACGCAACATTAATAAACATCATTCCATATGTTTTTTAAAAGTCAAGTTTTTCCATATAAAGTAATTTTACATTCCCTATCAACTTGTTATTGCTTAACTTTAGAAAATTGAATGTAATCAGCAAATTTATTTTGAGCGCATTAACAAAGTGATAATATCTCTGAGATAACTTTAAAATGTGCAATTGTGAAAACACAGCTCAAGAAAGATATCTGCAAAAATAAACATTAATGTCTGAACACTATTCAGAAAGGGGAGACTCCAGAAAGTTTCTTAGTAAGGCATAAAATTATAGTTGGAAGAAGAAGTGATATTGTCCTATATAATAAAGGATAAGCTTAACCCTACTTTTTAAAGTTGTATATAGTCATATACAATGACTTTAATAATTTTTTTTTTTTTCTGCGGTACGCAGGCCTCTCACTGTTGTGGCCTCTCCCGTTGCGCAGCACAGGCTCCGGACGCGCAGACTCAGCGGCCATGGCTCACGGGCCCAGCCGCTCCGCGGCATGTGGGATCTTCCCAGACCGGGGCACGAACCCGTGTCTCCCGCATCGGCAGGCGCACTCTTAACCACTGTGCCACCAGGGAAGCCCTAATAAATCTTTAGTAATATGAAACTATATCCAACATTTGATGTTGACCAGACTGACATTATATGAGCTACAGAAACTATAAGTGATTTCCGAAATCACTTCCAAATTTGTGTCCAATTAAATGTCTACAAAGCAAGAGACTTCAAGTCTTTTACTATTTCATGAATTCCCATGCAAATTCATTAAGCTAAATACTCCTAAAATTAAAAAATGAAATTGATCACAAAATATGGTTTTCTGAAACATATTTATATAACCTTTCAAAGCAATCAGGACCCGATTCCACTTCAACTGGCATGTGATTAAGGGAGACAATGTAAGAAAATGCAATAACTTTAAATAAATTTGAAATAAGCAATGGAAAGATGGAGAAGCAAACTGAGTTAAAGAATATTATCTAGATGTCCTGAAATCACAATATTAAGACGAAGAACAGCTACCCATGGCTGCTCCAGGAGATCAAGCTGGCACATGGCAGGGTATGTGGAAGAAGCAAGATTCAATTTTAGCAGAGATGTATTCACAGGCAAACTGCAAATAGCAATTACAACCCCCAAGCAGGGGGAAGGCAGTTTGGACACACCTGCAGGTCATGAGATGTTACATTTCAGGATCACTCATCCGTGGACACATTCATCAATGTCCCCTTCTACCATAAGGTATCAAAGGAAATGTACACAAGCCATTAGGAGCTTCTTTATTATAACTAATTTACAGAGGTGGGAAACAGAGATTCCTTTTTTTCTAATAGACAATATAATTTTTATTCATCATATATGCCTGAAAAACCCTTCTACAATTTTCAATTTTATTGGCCTTTATATTCCCCTCTCCCAAATTTCGAGCCAAATTTAAAATTTTAATGCTTTATATTTTGTGTATCTTAGTGTGCTACATAGTAAGATATTTTATTTCCATTTTCTGTAATTATTAAAGGGATAAGTAATGTGTTATGATTCATTAAAAGAGAGTAATAACTTATTTACAGAGTTGCCCCAGTTAGCTTCTAGTGATTAGCATTTGTATTCATATGATCTAGACACTTGTCACAGAAAAGGTTTATTTCTCAAAAATGTTACTCTTCACTCCATGATGTTTTAAAAATATTTACTAGAAAATTCAGAAAATATAAAATACTTGGTTGTTTATTTTTGTATAAGAAATGCAACTGTTTTTATGTGAATAGATGAGGAATAATAAATTAAATGAGCTATTAGCATTTAATAGTGTGATGTAGTGGAAAGGATATCCTTTGGCTCTTCCCCAAAATGATCACCTTTATTATAACATAGATGTATATTTTTTATTTTAAAAGCAATCAATGTTGAAATTATGTTACAATAATTTCTGCTCAGCTTCAACCTAGGTCATGTTCCTACTCAAAATTTTCTTCAAGAAAAAAAAAGAAAGGAAAAGAAAAACAGGATTAGCTCAGACAACAAGAGAAAGCAAAGGATAAAAAGAACCAGAGGACCCAGACATGCCTGTTGATGGCCAAAAAGAGCCAGAATGTAGAATTAAAGCTACTAAAAAATCGAAACTGGGAACACATCTCCCATTCCTTTTAGATTTAATGGCGAAAACTACTGGCAACTGCATATTTTTAGTTAAAATTATACTTAATTATTTAGCCACATATGATTTTAAAAGTACCT